TAAGAAAGATAAGCTTTTGAGCTTCTGTGAGCCAGTTCATCTTAACCTCTTGAAATTTTAGACTGAAAAATAAACATCTGTACATTATACAGTCTATGTACTGTATGTAAAAATTTAAGAAAAACTTTAAAATAATTTAAGAAATATTGAATAAAGCTGTCATTGGAGAAATAGATTGAAATATAGATGAATGGTGCAATGAACTATCAAGACTGGTGAAAAGAAGCTAAAACCCCATCACCTATTATTTATCTCATATATAAAGTATTTAGTCCTAGGGAGAAACCCTTCATATACCCTCATAAAATGTTCAGTCAAAATGAGCCATCCTTAAAGTGCACCCACAAGACTACAAAAACCTGTCAAATATCTGCATCTTCTTTGGATTTTCTTTTGTTGATGGATATCAAATATTAGTCTGATTACAATTAACTTTCATTCCGGTTTTAATCAGCTTTTATTAATACAGCCACTTCAGTTAGGGTCTAACGACAGCCCTCTTGAATGTTTGTCAAATTAACCTTTGACCTAACTTGATAAGCACTGTGTCACAAATGCCAACGTTACAGAGGGTAAAATTTTGATTGGTTAAAGCAGATGTCAAAAGGTTAATTTGACGAATGTTCAGAATCAAATCTAGTTTCATGTTCGTTGAGTCAGTCTGGATTTTAAACATATGACAATATCAAATAATCAATTTGATAAAACAACAGATAACATGCTATTAGTAATTCACCTGGATCTTGCAAAGGGGATGAGAGTCAATCACATCTAAACCCTTGATCTGATATTCTGATTATTGAGTAATTTCATTTTTTTTTTAACTTTACGAACTTGCCTGCCAATCAGGCACGGCAAATAGAGCCAAATCAACAACCCTGCTACAGATATTTGCAGAAGGATTCATCAGATAAAAAAATGGAAATATCAGCCAGATGGATCAAAGGCTTTGATTCAAAAACTCTTTATACCCTTGATATAGTAGATCCTATAATTGTAAAACATAAACACTTGATTTATTTCTCGGAATTTTCTTGATTTTATAATGCTATTCCTACAACATAAATATTATCAGAAGACCAAAAATCAAAATTTCAGCCATTTAATTTAGTCTATGAAATACCATTAAAGAGAATTGTTAGTACTAATCTATATCAAACAGACCATATAGTAGGTCACAGATATCAATGCACATGCAGGATTGACTCAAAACATAAACAGGAACAGTTCACTTTAATCAAGATAAATAAGGGGGCGCTCGATTGGTGGGTTCTGCACATTCTGGATTTATGGAATCAACAGAACGTTAAATAAAACATGACCTCTGAATGCGTTCTACCTATGTTGAAAAAATAGTACAGGCACACAGAATTCAAAATGGCGGAGAAGGAAATAGATGGGAAAAATTTCGAATGCGACATATCTGTGCGATTGGAACAGACAGAATTGAAACAGACGGATTTGAAACAGATGGAAGCTGTTCAGAATTCTCCAATAGAGCACCACCAAATAGTAATGAACACCAAATGAATATGATGTTTTTTTAAATTACTACCTAATCTACCCAGGAAAAAAGTGGACTGGTCTTATTTTTTGTTTGAAACTTTCCAGCATGTGCATAAATAGAAGTAACTTATAAGAATTAGAGCACAGATTCTATAAATAGCTACATGCTATTAGTGTTACAGTGTTCAGTGTTAGTGTTTTTTAATGAGTACATGGCGTCTACCTCTCTTCAGATTTAACACTGGCATCAGACTCTTCATCGCTTTTCTCTGATTGGCTGTCGTGATCTTCCTCCTCACTTGCTGCACTCTCGCTGTAAAGCATTAATGTCGGCATGCAATGAATTATGGGTAACTTTCATGCCATACCCAGAAACGGAATGAAGCATTGTTTTACTGAACAAATGAAATGAAATGGAGTTTTATATCCTACTGTTCTGTTTCTTGTTGAACTAATAAAATGAAAGATGTTCTGTAACTTATGGGATTGATGAAGTAAATTGGAATTTTCCATCCTACTTTTGTGTAACTTAATGAAAATGTTCCCCATTTTGTTATTTTGCTAAAAGCTTTCTGCAAACATCATTAATCTAATTTCATTGTTGTTTTTAACTTTCAGAATGTACCAGAATACAACATGAATGGTGGAAAATTGAACACCATCTTCACAATGTCAAGCTATTACGAACTTCTTCTTATACCTTGACTGCAATAGCAACATTTCTTTTATCATGTAATGCAGTGATTTGATTGGATTGTGTGTTAAAGATTACAGCCAATCAGAGCCCTTGACATAAAAAAATGTAACCATTATGGCTTATTTTTTGTACAGACTTTCTGTCAAAGGCTCTGATTGGCTGTATTCAGAATCTTACAATCCAAACAAATCGGCGCATTTACAACCTTCAGTGATACAAGCAATGTGGCTTTTGCAGTCAAGGTATTAGACAGAGGTCGAATAGCATGTCATTGTGAAGATATTTTGAGAATAATGAAATGAATAGCTTACTATGATGCATGCATTCGAATTATCAAAAAGCATCATAAGAGAGTAAGACAAAAAAAGCATGGAGGCCAAAAATTACATTATAGCAGTTTGGAGAAAATTATGACAATCATGCGTTTGCGGAAAAATCATTATCAACTTCATAATCATAACTTTTGATTTTCAAGAAATATGATTGGTTGATATATTCTTTATCAATTTGGACCAATCAGATTTCTCAAAATCATGCAGATGTGATTCTCTAGACAAGACGTTACTTGAGTTCAGGAAAAGCAAGAAATTTTGTGACATTTGCAAATAGGTATTCTTGAAAGAATTTGCAAAGTGCAATTCTGTGAAGGTTTTGGGTATTGCAAAAGGGAAATTCAATTCGTAACAAATTTGGGGTTTTCTTGATTAATGTGTACATACCATTGCTATCAAAACAACAGAAGATTGCAAAATAATGGGGAAGCATTCGATGAACGGGATATGCAGCACAAAGGGGATAAAACCGTTCAAAATAAGAATAAATTTCCAAAAAATGCAAACAATAACACAGGCATAAAGTTGAAAATAGAATAAAATGCAAATTAAATGAAAATTACCTTTTAGAGAGAATTTCATCTTCATCATCTACAGTTGTATTAGGAGATGTTGTCGTATCCACATCAGACCCTGAAAAAAAACAAAATGGCGTTTTACACCTTACAAATCTTATTTTCTACTGTCCTAATGTAAAGAAATGGTGGCGCTCGATTGGAGTGTTCTGAACAGGTTTCATCGGTTCCAATTCTACCCTCAATCGAACACTACGGAAGCAAAACGGTCACTTTCAAAATTTTCCCATTTTTTTTCTTTCTCCGCCATTTTGAATTATGTCTCTACCTACTATTTTTTCCAGCACACGTAGAGGGGATTCTGAACTTGTTTTATTGCCCTATTTGCCTCAAAAAATGGTGTCAAAATGCAATCGGTTTTCACCAACTGACAACCAACCAATGATATCTCACCTTTCTTCAAATCTTCTTCCAATTTAGCTTTGAATATGTTACACTTCATTTGATTGGCTGGAATAGATGAAGCGCCTCCTGCATATTTAACCTGGTTATTGCGTGTAAAATTGTTCACATCTTTCTGTTTCTGAACAACTGGAACTGGTTTAGTTTCATCCAAACCTTTCATTCTAGCTATGGCACTTTCAGATGCAACTGTAAAATAAGACAAAAAGGTGTTGTGGGTTCATCTAAAAACAAGGAATATTGTAGGAACGCTGCTTTCAGGCTGTCTAGCACCGGCGGCTCCCACATTTGGCACTTATGCAACTTGCAAAAATACTTAAGCGCTAGAGTTGAGAGTAGGGGACCTAGAAAAATGTTAAAAAATTAGGTTTGATACGCTTGCATCTGAGACCATTCCAAACAACATTCCTGTTGACGACACAACAATCGCCCCCTCGGGTAGAAATACAAAAAAATTAGGAATTGACATAAAAAATCTGGCCACGTATTCTCGAATCGATCTTAGCGCTAGGATGTCTTAGAATCAATGATAGAAGATAAGAATCTAGGACTTCCTAGCGCTAAGATCGTTTCGAGAATACATAGCCAGGGCTTTTAAGGATTTCCCCTCAAATTCAACATTTCTTTAAGGAATTTTAGCAAAACTGAAAAAGATTTTTGGGCTGCTGGACAACATCCTATGCTGCTTCGAATTGGTTTATGAAGGAAGGCAATGTGAAATGCCATACAATGTGAAATGAAGGAAACAGTCTGCTCTTTCTTAATATCCCATCTGTCAAAGGGATTGTAACATGCACAGCCTGCAGCAGACAGCGTCTTGGTTTATCATTCCAGCCTAACCACTAGATTCTTTTTCCATGTCAGCTCATCCAACCTGCCTCATGGACAGGTGAAAAATCAAGGGTCAAATATCTAAGGGTAGTATCTCAACTGGCATGTGAATTTCACCTCAGATTTTTAGTAGGCAAGGTCTGAGCCACATAAATTCCTACCTTTCAGATCTATATCATTAGCTGTAGAATTCGAACTTGTCGAGGGTAGAGTCACAGTTGCCTCCCCTACTCCACGTTTAACTGGACGTTCAAGAGTAGATCCTTTTATCAGATTATCCAGTCTATCCACTGCTGCTTGTGATTTGGCATCTGCTGACTTAACTGTGGCAGGTGGGGGAGGGGTTTTCGTCCTCTTAGCAACAGGAGGAGGCGTCTTGTTGTCAGGGACATCAAATGTCGTTTCCACAGATGGTGTTGGAGGGGCAGCAGACGCCTTTTTCCTGGAAAAAAAAAATCATCCTAAATTTAAAAGCTTTGTGGACTCTTTGAAGAAATGCCTACTCTGTTAGTCAGAAGTGTGAATCTGCTTAACAACGACACCTGATTTTTAAATATTTAGACTGAAATGTTCAAAATGGCCTCCGGACAGCCTTGTCCACCAGCATACTCAAAATATTTTTGAACATACAACAGCGTTTGAAAAATCAGAAACCATTCAAGGCTTTAAACAAAATTCACAAAATTGACTAGTTTTATTTAAATCAAAAAACATCACATACCTTTCTTCTGCCATTTTCTTTCGTTCCTGATCACGTCGTTTTTTCTCAGCCAGTTCCTTTCTCTCCAAAGTAGCACGACGAGAATATCTCTGACTGGGTTTCCTCTCAAAACGAACACTTCTTCTTACACGATTCAGAGTAGCCGTCTGGTATTCTGTCCTTCCACTGAAAAAAATGGAGAGTTATTTTTTTACATATTCAAGCTCGTCTGTTTTTGTGATCTCACCAGGTGAATTGCAGGAACCACAGACATCTTATTGAAAATTGGAATGGTGCAGACTGATATCAGTGTCCCCGATACACATAACAAATTTAGAATCCCTTTAAATGACTCTCATGGCTATCTCTACAAACCTGTATCTAAAGCGAGATCCCATTCTGAAGAAATTCTGTCGTGTAGAAGTTCCTTTCACTGGTCCTTTTAACCGGAAGAAAGCATGATGTTCTACCGCACACTTCCACAGATGTTTACAAGCTTTTTCACTCATCAACCGGAAAACAAACGTATGATCTTGTCCATGACCCTGAATAGAAATGAAATTACATCTTATAGTCCTGTCATACTGGAAAGGCATATTTAGTAAGTTGCTATGGCAACGGAAAATTGGCTCAGAGCAAGGTTAAGGTCACCATAAGAATGCAATAAGATTCTAGGAAGCAAAAGATTCTATAAGGTTCAATAATCGCCGTTGAGTTTGCCACTGAATTCAGAATGTCTTTGGACAAGCGTCAGGATCCAAAGACGGCCCTTTTGAACATTTGTCAGTTTGATTAGACTGCTAGCCAATCAAATTTCTCCCCTCATCAAAGTTTGGATTTTGTGATGCGGACATAAGGTGCATTCAGTGCCTAATGCTTCTTGGAATACAGCTTTTGTTAGCGTCACAAAATCCCAGCGTTGGAGAGGACAGGAATTTGATTGGCTGGACAAGACATCAAAGGCGAATGTTCTAGATGGAAAAAAAAAATTTGGTGTTATGTTATTTTGATTAGACTGAACCCAAGACCCCAAATCCCAAGGTTAGCGAACAAGAGTCAAACATGATAAGCCACCCTGGTTCACACTTTATATCTAGTTTTTTAAAAAAAATGAACTTACCTCTTCATCATCCTCAACAACAATCAATGTTAATTTCTTTCCTTTAAAATCTAACTTCGTCATCTTTGGCCTGAAATTAACAGATTATTCCCAAATTGATAATGTGTTAACCTTGTGACTTAAAAGGATTGTAAAGAGGTTTTCTAAATTTGTTATGTGTATCGGGGATACTGATAGTATCAATTTACACTATTCCAATTTTCAATCAGACGTCTGTGGTTCCTGCAATTCTACTAAATGTTTGATGAAGGCACTAATGGCGAAATATGCTTCATCACATAAGGCCTTCACCATTAGTGACGTCATCAAACACTAAGGAACCACAGACATCTGAATGGTGCAAATTGATGCCATCAGTGTCCCCAATATACATAACAATTTCAGAAAATCTTTTTACAACCCCTTTAATGGTTTACAATTCCCAACACCAATTTCTGTCCCACTCTGAACTTTGTTTATTGTACCTGAACAAATCCAAAAATGTGCTAGATAAAGTAAAATAGTTCACTCACCAGAAGAAAAGCCCAATTTTCTGTTGTCCCTCGAACACTAGGACACCTGTAGGTGTTAGACCTAATGTATAATCCATTCCGTCACGACCTTGAACTGTATGAAGGTCAACACCATACATCTCCAACCATTTTGCTTTGTTTAAGAATACCACTTCTGCCTGCGCTGGGGTCTGACCTCTGCAAAAACACACAAGAAAATGACAACCCAAAAAGCAAAGAGTTATAAGTTTTAAGCTAAGATTTCCATATACGTGTCATGCGGATGCGTCATGTGGACATAAATGGCCCTTGCGGATGCGTCAAAAATCGCTACACTCGACGATTTTTTATTTATGTATGACAGAGACCATTTGACGGATACCGCTTCCGCATATATGGAATGGAATCATAAACTCTTAAACCAACCATTTCGACTTTTAACACATGACGGATGAAGCATGACGCGAGTATGGAATCTTAGCTTTAGTCCTCAAGCTCAAAGGACATTTGATGTCATTTGGACAATAGTAGGTAAGTTTGTCAAGCCCCCTGTGTAATTGGGTATTGATAATCTGGAAAGATCAATCCTTGCGCACTTAATTCTGAGTAAAATCACATGTGTGCCCGAGCTTCAACGACAAGATTTTTACGTTGCCGACAGGATTTATAATATCAAACCAGACTGGAGATGTCTTGTCTCCTTGTGTGCTCGCAGTCAGTCGGTGAAATTCATGACAAGACTCTAGTCAGCAACAAAAATCATCAACCAAGGTGATTCGAGTGCCTGCACCATAAGACAAGATGAAGACCAGATGCTTGTAAAACATGGCTGTTTAATATTTGTACTTACTTGCATTCTTTATATTTTTCAAAGATTTTTAACTCAAGTTCTTCTGTTTGATCAGGAACAAATCTGAATTCTGATATTAAGGCAGCTGTATGCTCTTCAGGTTCATAGTCTCCTAATTCAGCTGAAAACAGAGAAAAACTCAGGTCAGGATGGGAACATAACACGGTCTTGAAACTTGGATTTGACAAATATATCTAAGGGATTGTAAGGGGGTTTTCTAAAAATATATTATCGGGGACCTATAGCATCAATTGGCGGTTCCTGCAATTCCACTAAAACTAAGAATTTCTTGATGTCACTAATCGTGACTGGTCTCATGTCATAAAATCAATGCTTTATCAAACACTAAGTTTTGGTGGAATGGCAGGAACCAACCACAGATGTCTGATTGAAAATTGGTGCTAATTGATGTTAGCCGTTTCCCCAATACACATAAAACATTTAGAAAACCTCTTTTATATCTCTTTAAGTTATTTAAACAGGTTTGATTAAAACTTATATTGGTTGGCTTAAAAAATAGAGATAAAATGGAATTTATATCCTTCTGTACTGCACCATAAAATGTTTATTACTAGAGGCCAGATCTGGACAAAATGTGTTTCAAAACTTCACCAATTAGAACTTACATTGGATGGCATAAGCACACATTTCTATGAGAATATCTTCAGGCGGTTCTAATCTCTTGGTGTATATATCTTGTTTTAATTGTAAGAAAAACTGGTATCTAAAAGTGAACGTAATATTAGTTATAATACAGTTACAGTCTAGTTATATGTGCTCACAAAGAAACGTGGTTTGTTGAAGATAACTGAGCTAGGTCAAAAAACATGAACGATCATTCGACCCAGGGTTAAATTGAACTCGATTATTTTATTAACCAATCAGATTGCTGTATTGTTAAATCTGGATTTCAGTTTGGTTAAATTTTTGTGAAACAGAATCAAAGCTTTTGGATGGCGCTCAATTGGAGAGTTCTGAACAGGTTCCGTCTGTTCCAATTCTGCGCTTAATATGTCACATTTAGTTCCTTTTCCGCCATTTTGAATTCTGTCTGCAACTACTATTTTTCCAGCATATATAAAACATGTTCTGATCTCTGTTATAAATTGTTTTATTGAACGTTCTGCAATTTCATCAGTCCCAGAACTCAGTGGCCCCCTTGATCTATAAAGGGCAATAACTCTTACCTGGTTAATTCTTCATGTAGGTTATTTGGTTCTGAGGAGTAGAATTTCACCCGAAATCGGAATGTATAGTGTGGACCAACTACAATAAACAAAAACATCATTTCAAAACTGTGTTAGATGGTGATGAGAACACAGTCTCATGAAAGCACTGGCCTAGGTCACAAAGTAAAGATTTATGATAAAACAAGGTGCAGTAAAACTGTGCTAGCAACTATATAACACCCATTATAGAGTATTTCAGCATCTTTTCTATGTTGTACATCACCTTTGATTCCAACAATATTTTCTATAATCTATAATATCAATTACAATATATAATATAACTAGAAACATTAACATGCTGATGAAAATCTGTCCCCATCACCTTTAAAGATGTAACAAGCAAAGTGACAATTGCAGTCAAGGTATAAGACATAGTAATAGCTTGACATTGTGAAAATGGTTATTTTGAAACTGGCACATACCAGTGGATCAAATACCACAGGAACCCCCCCCACCCCTAAGAGGGGCCAACCCCCAGAAAAAAATATTAACAGGCATTAAATTGACATTAAGCAGGGTCTCAGAATGCAGGAGAGGATAATATTAAAATCAAATTCCTGGAGGAGAGGTCCAACTCAAGTCAACGGCCCCCAATAATCTAGTCGAGCCACTGGCATATATATATTTCCTCTATAAGGACAGTATAACCTAAAATATTATCATAGTTGTCATTATATTTATAACACTGAGAATAACTTATCATGCTTCAACTATTTTCTAATTTACTACAGTACATTATATAACAATAGAGACCTGTTGTTCATATATATATTATTAAGAAAGAAAGAACTATATTTTACAAGGATAACTTAGGTTCACAGTTAATGATCCTTTCTACCAGCTGGTCCTTGGTCTAACCTCTTGGCATTGTTCTTCTGGATTGTTCATACCCATTTACAGATGGGTTGACTGGAATTATGAGTAAAGATGACTTTTTCAAGATCGGAACCCACAGCCGCCATTTGCTCGGCTTAACCAAGCATCAACGCTACTGTGCTATACAACCTCACTTCTTCTCTAGGGCAAGGGTATGCTAACACTACCAGAGTAGAAAACTTTACACCACTCTGCAATATGGAACTCAACCTGTATCGCCCTCTGAGAGTTAATATTTGTCATTTATTTTTGAGTATCCATTTTAAAATTTTGTTTCTAGAACTACCAAATCAAAATTTATTTAACTTAAAAAAAAGTTTTGGCTTTTCTAACCACATCTACTTCAACTGAAAATTTTCAATTTAATTTTTCTACAATTGACCAAATTTTCTAAAAGCTATTATACATTTTAGCATTTTACAAAATGTCAAAACATTAGCTACCATACCTAATACTTAAATCCAGGGAACACATTGATCATTTTAAAGTGGAATGCATGACCTTTGACATTAGACACCTTGCTTTGACCTTAAACCCCAGAAATGACCTTTGTCCTGAACCTGAGCCAGTGAAAGAGTTGATAAAAGTGTAAGAAAGTGTAAAAACCATCATATAGAATTTCATTGATAATAAATTTACAAGGGCAAGAAAATTATAGTTTTGACATTTGTCACTAATCAGACCAAACTTTTGTTCCCTTTTTTATAAACTTTTATTTTTAATTTAGCCACTTCTGTTACATTCTAAAGACGGGCATCTTTAACATTCGTCAGTTTGATGATACTACCAGCCAATCAAATATCTGCCCTCTTCAACACTGGGATTCTGTGAACAAAAGGTGTATTCCGAGCTCATTTAACACTTTATGTTACAGTCTCAAAATTCCCCACAAAAAGAGAGGAATATTTTGATTGGTTGAAAAATATAGAAGTGCATGTCAGATCATGGGTGGAGTCACCCTTAAAAAACACAAAACAAAAAATCTTTTAAGTTGAAATTGATTTTGCTTGAATCTAAAAAGAAAAAATTGTGCATATGCCATATACAGAAAAAAATTGGGAACACAACAAGAATATGTCTTTAAAAAATACAGAAATTATGTAGCATTCGTCAAAAGACAAGAATGTTAACGCCCACATAGTATGGGCCAAGTTCTTTCAGTTTACAAAAGTAAACAACTTCAAACACTATTACTATTAGATAACACTGTTAAATTAATACAACAATTAAAAATATTCAACTTAAGGGTATACTACCTCTTAAAGATATCCAAAAAATTAAAATTCTTAAACTTGGCCAATATGAGTCTTTGTTCATCAGTGGACTTACCTTTTCAATAATTATTTAGTTTAATGGATATATTGTCTTATATAGAGATTCTATTCTTTAGTCATGGAACCTAGTAAGTCTAACTGATGAATATATACACTTGTTGAACGAGTTTGAGAATTTAAATTTTATGTCCATTCTAAGAGGTAGTGTTCCTTTAAAGGGAAATGGTCATCTTATTGAGCTCTATTTGATTTAATTTTTGAAAAGTTGGTTGATGACTAGATACCTTTGAAACATCAAATGGCATTTATGACATCATTTGGAAAATTCAAAAATTAGATTTCTGCATCCCTTTAAAATTAAAAAAAACCTTAGATAACTAAACAACATGCATTGAGGTAACATCAAACTAGTGTGAGGATTTATTGTTGATTTAAAGATGGGTTTCCACATTTTTCAGACACAAATTTCATTAATCTGCAGTCTGTTAAATTGGAGGCCTCGATTTATTGTCCTATCTAAATACATTTGCCATGTCAGGCATGATTGATGACAGAAAACTCCCAATATGTATCTCAATGCTTGGACCTTTAAGTTGTAGCAAGAGTCCAACTCAATGAGCCACACCTACAATATCAATGTCACAGGCTCCATTTGATAAATAAAGTTACATGAAATATGGGAACCCATCTTTAATAAACACTGTTAGAACAAGTAAAAAGATTTACCATGTCCTCTGACAGTTGTATATGGAATATCTGAAAATATTCAACATATCATGTCAAATCTGATAGTTTTAAAGTATATCCTAGGTCTATAAACTTATATCAATACTTCCAAAGATGATATGAAATAAATGGAGTTTTATGTCCTACTTGTGGGCTAATGAAGACTGGTAATGCCATGCAGGGTGCAATGAGGGAAATTTTGCCAGGACAGCGGCATTAGCTTACTCTTTTTGCACTTCCAATTGTCAAGGGATCTTTAATGCACAGCCTTGGTTCATTGTCCCATCTGAACGACAAGACACATGCCCCCCTCCCCCCTCCAACCATCATCACTGATAAAGGAAAACCAAAGGTGTTATCTCAACCTATTGCAGTATTGAATCTTGGACCTTAAGATTAGCGAGGAAGCATCTAATTCACTTAGCCACCGTGGCTCCCTTCGAAAAACCTTCAGGTTAGAGAGCAAGTGTCTTAGTCACTGAGCCACCGCGGCTCCCTTCGAAAAATCTTCAGGTTAGAGAGCAAGTGTCTTAGTCACTGAGCCACCACGGCTCCCTTCGAAAGACCATGAGGTTAAAGAGCAAGGGTCTAACTCACTAAGCCACTGCGGCTCCCTTGGAAAGACCATCAGGTTAGAGAGCAAGTGTCTTACTCACTGAGCCACCACGGCTCCCTTGGAAAGACCATCAAGTTAGAGAGCAAGTGTCTTACACACTAAGCCACTGCGGCTCCCTTGGAAAGATGAAAGCTTGTCCAATTTATTAGCATAGATATAGCTTAAAAAGCCTACAAAAAACTTTACTAATAGAACTCACTAAAAGCTTCCTTGACACTCACCCAATTTTTTCATTGATACTTCCTAAAATACTGAAAAACCTTAAAATGATTAAATCATAGAATGAAAGGAAACTTACTTTTGGCCTGTTTTTTAATCTGCTTGGTTGGATCCAACCAATGCTGAAACATAAGAAATGTTGGAAATGAATTTCTTTATGCTATGGGCACATAAACAGTTTTGGTCGGCCATTTTTATCAAGAGTTTTACCGAACGACCGACTGTGGGCACACGAGGAGACAAAATATCTCCAGTCGGTCGTTTTCCGCCATGTCGATTATCATGCAATTGAAGAAAAAATGAATTTTATTTGATGATGACTTTCTGTGGAATCTTGTCTTTTTCTGAGTGCAGTCACACCAAGAGAAAAAATGCGAAAAATGAGAAAAAAATCAGCCACAAATATCAAACTTGTTTGATGTTCAAAATCCTGTTAACAATGCAATAATCTTGACGTGGAAGCAAAATTGAAATCATTTTGTGACAAAGAAGTATTTTAGGTGTGATTTTATTATAATGACAAAAATGATGAATTTGTATTCGATAGTATTGTAAAATAAGTACTGGATAATGGGTGTAGTGTTTGATAATTTTGTGATATTATAAATAGAACTTACAGCAACATTATGAATGTCAGTATATTGTAAACCAAAATAGTCTTTCTCCACCAAATCTAGGTGATAAAATACCTGCTCTAATAATTCTGACCCCAGTGACTTTTTCTGAAATATACAATCAAAAAAAATTAATACTGTCCTTAAAGTACTGACATATAGTTTGTCTACAATCACTTCACAGACTGTAATAGAAGGTTGAAGTGACTCTGTATAGTCTTACGTATACAGGCCAATTATTAATATATTCACATGCAGTTATGACATGTCCTTAAAATACTGACATCTAGTTTGTCTACAATCAATTCACAGACTGTAATAGATGGTTGAAGTCACTACAGTACAGTCTTACGTATACAGGCCCATTATTAATATATTCACATGCAGTTATGACATGTCCTTAAAATACTAACATATAGTTTGTCTACAATCAATTCACAAACTGTTATAGAAGGTTGAAGTCACTCTGTACAGTCTTACGTATACAGGCCAATAATTAATATATTCACATGCAGTTATGACATGTCCTTAAAATACTGACATATAGTTTGTCTACAATCAATTCACAGACTGTAATAGATGGTTGAAGTCACTACAGTACAGTCTTAAGTATACAGGCCAATTGTTAATATTCACATGCAATTATGACATGTCCTTAAAATACTAACATATAGTTTGTCTACAATCAATTCACAAACTGTTATAGAAGGTTGAAGTCACTCTGTACAGTCTTACGTATACAGGCCAATTATTAATATATTCACATGCAGTTATGACATGTCCTTAAAATACTGACATATAGTTTGTATACAATCAATTCACAAACTGTAATAGATGGTTGAAGTCACTACAGTACAGTCTTAAGTATACAGGCCAATTATTAATATATTCACATGCAGTTATGACATGTCCTTAAAAAACTGACATCTAGTTTGTCTACAATCAATTCACAGACTGTAATAGATGGTTGAAGTCACTACAGTACAGTCTTAAGTATACAGGCCAATTGTTCATATTCACATGCAATTATGACATGTCCTTAAAATACTAACATATAGTTTGTCTACAATCAATTCACAAACTGTTATAGAAGGTTGAAGTCACTCTGTACAGTCTTACGTATACAGGCCAATAATTAATAAATTCACATGCAGTTATGACATGTCCTTAAAATACTGACATATAGTTTGTCTACAATCAATTCACAAACTGTAATAGATGGTTGAAGTCACTACAGTACAGTCTTACGTATACAGGCCCATTATTAATATATTCACATGCAGTTATGACATGTCCTTAAAATACTGACATATAGTTTGTATACAATCAATTCACAAACTGTTATAGAAGGTTGAAGTCACTACAGTACAGTCTTACGTATACAGGCCAATAATTAATATATTCACATGCAGTTATGACATGTCCTTAAAATACTGACATATAGTTTGTATACAATCAATTCACAGACTGTAATAGAAGGTTGAAGTGACTCTGTATAGTCTTACGTATACAGGCCCATTATTAATATATTCACATGCAGTTATGACATGTCCTTAAAATACTGACATATAGTTTGTATACAATCAATTCACAAACTGTAATAGATGTTTGAAGTCACTCTGTACAGTCTTAAGTATACAGGCCAATTATTAATATATTCACATGCAGTTATGACATGTCCTTAAAATACTGACATATAGTTTGTCTACAATCAATTCACAAACTGTAATAGATGGTTGAAGTCACTACAGTACAGTCTTAAAAAAACATTAACACAACCGTATCCCTTAACGAAAATGTTCATTATATTCAACAAATGACAACAATCCAATAGTAAAATATTACAACTCCTGAAGATGTGATCCAAACTCTTCAGAAAGCACTCACACATTATTCACATTACCACAAACTACCTTCAAATAAGATTTCTTTTTTTAAAAATGTTGTGAACTGACAAAATGAAATATTTGAAGTAAAAAGTAAATAAACTGAAGAAAGAGCAAGTAGAGAAGAGAAACACGACAAAAAATAGTTTGTTTAAGACAAGGTCAATATTTTATCAATATAGAGACCCAGAATATACTTGATATTCAATTACACTGGAATTGAAAGGATTTGGAGTTCAAAGGTGCAGATAGTCCAAAACATCCAGCCTCTGATGGATATTTTGACAGTTATCAGCTGGAGTCAGAAAAACTAAGCCCTGTTATATGGGGATTTTTCACACCTGTTTTTTCTAACATAATATCAAACTATCTTTACGTTGACTGGAAATGTAGGGTAAAATCTTAACTTTCCTTTTGTTAGTATAGTGTTGTGACTCAGTGACCTTTTGGCTGCGTATGCAGTTTTAAATGGCCGATGAGAGATCAAAAACTTTAATGGAACCTAATGGCGTAGGGGGTTTCTGATGGAATCTATATCTATCTCACCGAATTTATCTGGGTTTGGTGGATCCCATACATATAACTTTAAAACCTTTGAGCCCACAGAGGTGCAGATAAATCTTCGTAAAACAAGCTTAGTTTTTCTGTCTCTACCTACACCAGCAGACAACTTTCAAAATACACTATCAGAGGCTAGAATAGAGGCAGATGTTTCGATCTACCCACCAGACTGATGAAATAAAAAAAATGATCATTATCTATGTTTTGTACAGAAACAGAAATTGCCAAGGTAACTACCTCATGACTGCCGTCTCAAGTTGACACAATAGCATGTCAGTATGTGTAAAAGATGGTTTAAGGATTATCAGATTAGAGATAATCCCATTGTCTATAGATAATGATTGCTAACCTCATGTGAGTTTAGAGATGCTCTGCCAGGTTTATGATTTGAAAATGACTCATTTTGGAAAATATAGACGCAGAAATAACACATTTTTCTACATTTTTGGCCTATAATTAGACATTTTTGGACCAAATCAATGAAACTGTTAAATAATCAGACCTAGCCAGATCAAATAAAGAAAAACAATGGTTAGTAAGCAGGGCTGTTGATTTACTTTTTTTCCCAACCGGACATTTTTAAACAATGTTTTGTGGGTAATAGACTAGACACTACACTATATAATAGTTTCTTACAGTAACTGTATTAAAATGTCATGAATTTTTGGTAATAATTCTTTTAACTGGTAGTTTAACTTTCTTTACATTCTAAAATAATTGTCATACAATAACAATAAAAAAACAATCCCATCAACAAATATATTATTGAGCTGCTGTGCCGGTCATGTCTGACTAATAGAGCTAAATCAACAGTCCTATTAGAAAGCCTGTCTATTTTCAAGAATCACATTGATGCAGATCAATTTACCAAGATATCCATATCTATGTTTTCAACAACTGATTTTGTTGTGATTTGATCTTTTCATAAATCACAAGGACAAGTAAGAAAATTAGTATCACTATACAGACTTACTAGGAAGTTATTTACTGATGTTTTATATATGCAAACCATGACAGTTGACAAATATGTCACTTTTCTTTTAGCTTAACATATTTCATCTTATATGGTTAATATTATGTTTATCAAAATCTATATTGAGATAAATTTAACAAAAATTTCAACAGTCCAAGGGAATACACTGAATGTTACTTATGGCTGTGATTCGGCATTTTCAGGGGTTGATTTGAGTCTTTAAAATATATGTAAATTGTCTAAAGAATTACTAGAACTCTACAAAAATCCCACAATTTCTTCAAATATATTTCGAACTAGAAATTTCATTTTGATATATATGTCTTTTCTATATAATATCACAGTCGTCAATTCAACTTTCAAACGCAGATAATTCTAGACACACATGGATTTGAAGGCTCAAATTTCAACGGTAATCTGTGAAAAGTACTGATTAGTTTAGCTAAAGGATATGTATTTCTGAAAAAAGAATGGTGAATCTGTCCCTATGAAAAATAAAATGAAATGAATGGAGTTTTACTGTCCCTATGAAAAGAGAAACTTCTAATAAACTTATAACCTAAATTATAAATATGTAAAATGTTTCTACAAAATACATTCAAGGTGCCAAAATGTACATTCTTTATAAAAATGCAATATATAAAAACTCAGACATCTTGGCTGAACTTGTTTGATATTATAAATCCTGTCTGGAATAGGGTGCATCATCTGCCCCTTTATGTCACAACTGTTTTGTCCCTAGTCTTAAAGTGTTCCAATGCCTAATTATTAATGACTCTTAAAACCGTTAGGAATTCTGTTGATGCCTATGTGGTCCACCTCGAGGTTCAAATTTACATATATTTCACCATTTTAGGTGTTTTTTCGCAATAGTTACACATGATAAACAAAGTGGTGTATTGTGATATGTAATTAATTTTTGGCTGTCATGGAACGCAATAATCTTGTCGTGAAAGCACAGGCTCAGGCACGATTCTTCTCAAGATTCCAGTCAGCCACAAAAATTGTCGATCAAGACAGTTTACGTGATCGCTCCTTTGGGTGACAGAAGAATACTGAGGCTAGAAAGTTTTGTGTTTAACAGCAATTAGTTGATTCCAGAATCAACAAAACTAAGGAGAAGAATTAATTAGACCTAATTAAACAAGTTTATTGATACAGACTCTAGAATATACAGTCAAGACATTGTGATGGCTTTTCTTAGACCTGAGACAGTGTCCACTGTCAAGATAGTTTCAGTTGTTAATCAACAGTGAACCAAAATTGTGATATCAGGTTATATGGTGATGAGAAGGGTTTAAAGGTGGGTTCCCTTTTTTTCATTTATGAAAATGAAAATGCTATGAATAGAAAGTAGAGGTGTTCCAATGACTTGGAAAAATACCAGTGTGTCTCACATGCCCATAATTAATTCATAATTAGCTAAATTAGAGGAGAATTACTAGCAGAATTCAAATGAGTGGCCGATCAAGACTGTACATACATAGACATTTATGATTGGTTGAAACTATAATTATATGCAATAAGAACATAATGATATGGTCAAGAATACATGATACTTCACTACAAACATCAATTAATCAACTAGTTTGCTTAATTTGACACTAAAAAATAAGGAAACCCATCTTTAAATATAATATTGCTGACAGGACAATACAGTATATTTTAGAATTGTAGAAAATGAAATGAGATAAAAAATTCAAGGGATTGTAACAGTTTTTCTAAATGGTGTATCACAGGATACTGATAGCACCATTCCAATTTTCAGTTACACATCTGTTGTGGCTCCTGCAATTCGTTTAAGCGTTTGATGACGTCACTAATGGCGAAATATGCTTTATGACATACAAATTGAAAATTTGAATGGTGTACCGGTAAATTGATGCTATCAGTGTCCCTGACGCACATAAAAAGGGCCTCTTTAGAACCCATTAAATGTACTTTTCATCAATCAACTCCTATAATTAATTTTACATTCAATTATTATTTTAATTAATACCACTATAAGCTTAATTTAAACCATTTTTCACAGAATATTTCCTTTCCCACAAATTCATTTGCAAGAATCGTATCATTATTGTCAGAACTTTGAAGTCTTCTGAAAGATTAAGCATGGACTGCATCAAAATGCAAATATTAGCAAAATGAATCAATCAGATGAAAGCTTGATCAATTATCTTATCTTATCATAGTTTTTATTACACCATATTGACAAATCAGCAAAGTTGGATTCAGTCAGTAACAAGATAATATGACAGACAGGAAGACAGATCAGGGATGGGAAGGTCGTCAGTTATAATGAAAAATAAACAAAGACCAAAATAACAACTTATAATTAGATTTTAAAAGATTATCAAGTATTGGCAACAAATGATAGTCAAGATATTTCACTGCTATGAAAATAACAATAATTATTTTACTAACTGATTGTCAGGCCTGCAGCTAGAGGGGAGCCAGGTCTCCTTAAAAAACTTGTGGCCGTCCCCCGAGACGAGCTATGGGCCTGCTAGTTGTAAAAGCCAAAATTGTGTGAATTTGTTGATTACTTTGCAACATTTAATATTTTTTTTATATTTTTCTTAGTCCTCATTTGAAGAAAGCTTATATGATATGTTTCAGTTCTCGAATCAACAAGTGTAGTCATCATTAATAACAGTAGAATCATATTTCATTCTGAAACATATGACTCACTCGGCATGGAAGACTCATTCTCATAGAGATGATGACATTGTTGATATTGACTATTGAAACTGTTCATGTTCCTAACCAATCTCCATTGAAATTCAATTTCAGTTTCTCAACTTTTCAATAAGAAATGATAAAAAGGAGATCTAATTATAAAAATTAAATTGAAATGAAATAAGGTAAAAGATTTAGAACTTCAACCTCATCGCAATCAAGTGTCATCTGCAACCTTGGGCTTAAACCTGTCAAAAAAAAAATACATTTATCCACAATCAGACCGGCCCTTTCAATTTCTTCTACTGTTCTTCTGAAACAAAAGAAGTTAGATGTCTATTGATAAAAAATTCTTACATGGACGTCCAAAGTTAATTCTGATGCATCTAACAAAACAACTGTACAGGTCAAAAGATGCTTGGATTTAACAGCAGGTGCACTGGGTTGACCGTCTACAAAATCAGTCCTTGTTTTGACTCCACCTCGACGGGAACGACGTTTGCTAAATAATCTCGTAAAGAATGACATTTTACTACATTAGGAACACGTCTGCTAATATCCAATTAAAACCGATGCCTTCTGCTTACTAATTTCTCTCCATTTGCAGCGTCTTTGGGCATACTAGGCCCGTAAAAACAAGTTAAAAGAAATCATTTCAGGTCAATAAAAATTCTTCAGGTGATCCCGGATAGCAATAACTGACTTCCGGTTCAAATCACGGAAACTACCGAACACTAACGGAGAGCAACAACCTTGACTTTCGACGTTGCTTTAGATTAACCAGACTCATATTCATAATCAAGTCAAGACAAATCCTTCGTGCCAGATCGACCTGATTTTCATCAAATTTTAACCGAAAATCTGGTTAATGTAAAGATCCTGTGTAAAACTGTTGATATGTGATTTGTTTGGCATTAAAAATTTAATTTTGTAGAAATTTAGTCAGAGTGTGCACTTGGCTTTTTTATTCATGCGATTTCCAATATTTCGACTCCAAAACATAAAATGCGGAAAAATTTGCTTCCGGGTCTGCGAAGCAAGTTTTTTCGGGCAATGATCTCATAACTTGGTTAAAGATTCGCCCCCTCTCGGACGTAAACCTGGCCCCGCCACTTGCAAAGTAAGCACATTCTCGGGATTATCCGACTAAGAGTGTAATATGGTCAAAAAATGGTACAAAATCAGCATTAGTTCTTACACCCATGAATAAATCAAGCTTACTTGATGCCAAATGTCATTAGACACCTGTAGAAAAAAGGCAAACAATTCTGAAATATATGTTTTATTTCATTTTCACTCAACACTAACATAATGTGTTTTCAAGGTCGACAGATGTAACTAGCAGAAGTCATTTATTGACCAACTATAACAAAAGTTCGCTGTGGTCTGACTGACTCTTGTACATTTAATTAACCAAGATACCCTGGAGAGGGTCAGAGTCATTTTCTCCTGAACTCTTCAGCAGCCGAGGTTGCTCAGTGAGATAGGTCAATTGACACCTTCAGATTTTTCATACCGGTTTCCCCCTGTCAGTGATGCAAGTCGGAGGGGCTGACATGGAAAAAGTGTCTAGTCGTTCGGATGGTACAATAAAACCCGAAGCCCTGTATGCTGCAGGCTGTGCAAGTTAAAGATCCCTTGTCAGTTGGAAACACTGCTTGGCGTTGCCCGTCTTCATTAGCCCATAGATTGCAGAAAAGTAGGACATGAACCTCCATTTATACATTTATTCCTGAACTCTTGTTGCTAATACAGTAGAACACCCTCTAAAATAACCACATAAACAATGATAAATAAAAAATTTAATACAGTAGGGCCAGAATACTTTCAACATAGTACTAGACTGATAAATCCATTTTTCCACAGTTTCCTGCCACCAACAAACCTTTACGTTTCAACGTTTCCATAAGATACAAATGTCTATTGGTCAGTGATATTCGCTGTTCATAAATTGGATAAAGGAAATTGCCTTGAGAGTCAAGTTTGTCTTTAAAGGCACTTCCCGGGAGGGAATACAGCATTTTATTTCGTTCCAAACACTTTTGGTAATAAGTTAACCCAGCTAATGCCATTTCTTTATCAGCATCAACAGTTTTTCTGATTGTCAAATGATCACGGAATTGCAGCAATCGATTGTGACCCCATAATGCAATTTTTACGCCGATGCAATTGCAGATAAAATAGAGAAATGCCCTGTTACGTAACGATACATGTCGTTTTATGTAAAACATCGGATTGAAAAAGAAGTAACACACAATGTACCAAACTGTGGCAGCAACCGCAGCACTTGTTGGCTGCAGTAGAGCTAAATAGGAATATTTATTAAATAACTCTTGAGAAACAGCAAATTTTTTCTCTAATTCAGTGTATATCATAGTATCGAACAGATTTTGTACATTTTCCGTATCCAAATCAACCCCTCGGTCAAAAAATTGTAAGTCTGCTGTTTTGATTTCATCTGCAGATTTGAATCTAAAACAGTATGGCACTCCGATAAATACTCCTTGACACAAGAGTGGTGTCCCTTTGCTGATGACTTCTGGTCTTTTGGTGGTAAAATAGTTCACAAATACAGCATGAACTTTGTCAACTTTGATAGATTTAATTACCTGAAATGAAAAAAATATATACAAGTCAAAATTATCAGTTAGCATAGATTAAGCCATTGGGTCTAAATTCCAGTGAACACAATTTAATGAAGGATCTTGTTAGATCATGGAAGGCAAGTGTAGCAACCTGTAGAAAAAGACAAAACTAATTATCAAAATTTTCATATTGATGAAAACGACTTAAACCGGGGATTCTAGGAAGGAAAAAAAATTAAAAGAAATGGAAAATATCAGCTCAGGCTCCCATGTAGAGTACAGGGGGCGATTTTAGCATTTTAAGATGCTTTGAGAGTCATTTAGTCCTTTTCATCCCTCAACCAAATTTTTAATGGTTTCATGCCAAAATAGAACAAATACCACTGGACAAAAAAATAGAGCAATTCTTCTGAAAATAAAATTAAAAACCGGGATCTCTGTTAAACTGACAATTTGAAATACCTACATCATATCCAAGTTGTTCTGACTCTGTATCAAGGGGAGTAAGGCTGCCTGGTTTTCCTTCATGCCCCTCCACAGTAATGACATTCTTAGCATAATACTCATCTTTTAAAACCATAACACCAGTAAACCCTCCTGCAGCCATAGACACTACAATATCCATACGACGTGTTGCTTCCTGAATAAATGCTCTCTGAAACATCAAAATAAAACACATTAATCAAAGATATGCAAGGGCTATTATCATCAAGAGCTCTTATTTGACTCACTACACGAGCATTTATCTGCATGAGCATCTATTTGACAATGGTTTGTAATTCACATGAAAAGAGACTCTGTTTTAGAAGTGTGTTTTACAAGCGACTTTTGATAATCTTTGTCAGACATTTAGAAGTATCACAGGACATTAAGAAACAACGGTTTTATAGATATAGCCTCCCATTTATTATTGAAACATGTTTCATTATACATACAGGTAACCAAGGTAACTAAGAATACAATGAACCTACCAAAAGTGACATGTTTCTTTTCTTCACTGTTGTTTTCAAAACTGAACCTTATATCTTTTCCTTAAAGGTAAACCTTTATGGCAAATAGTTATGTAATAGGCTACTTTCAATAGTTTTGGCTTTGTTACATAGGCTAACTTCAGAAGTTTAGACACACCAAAGACAGAGTCAATGAACTTCAAAAACTTTCGAAGGTTATCGATCAATTAGGTCTAGTCAAGAATTTCACAATTACTGACAGCCATTTCCTGTATGGTGTCAAATTCAAACACTGTTGTAAAGTTAAAAAACTTCAAACACATTTAGTCAGCTAACATTCAATGTTGTCCATGGCCGCTACCATTTTACATTCTGATCAAATGCTAAAATTACGAAAATCACCTCGCAGATATTTTTGTATGGCTCATTCAACATTCTTTATAATCTTAACTGTAGACAACTTTGGTAGTTGGGACTGAAAATTAGGTATTCTACAACGGAAAATTATGATTTTGACCATTCTTACTTGTGTTACTATTTCCATGATAATGTAAAGTAAAATTTAGTGTCATTCGAGATAATTTCTTGTCTTATTGTGACAATGAATTTCGACTATTTTTATTCCCGATTGTCAAGATATCATTAACGGTTATTTTCGTGTTGCTGGAATAAGTCAAATCGACCAGGGTAGGCTTTTTGGAAATAAAATTGAAGCATATATTATATTAGTAGTTATTTCTATAGAGACCATCTCTTTAAACAGTTCAGTGGTTGATTAGTTTATTTTTAACTAAAAGCACACTTCACTGCACAAGCCAATCACCTGTAAATACCCTTTGTTTTCTTTCTATTTGTATCTTGGGGTTCACTTTTCTCTCTTTTCTCTGGGGTGAGCTGTCTTCATCTTTATCATCTTGGTGTTAGATACCACACTTTCAATACCATCTTGGAGGAGATAAGACTTTATTTTTCTTTAAGTCAAGTCTGTTCAATTCAGTCATCTAATTAGTGAAAGGTATGTGTGTCTCTTTTTATTATAGGGTTTTACCAATTTTAGCAAGAATGGGCGTAAATGGGATATTTTAACTTGTAATTTAGTTCTTTTGGTTTATCTAAGCATATTTTGTTAAAGTTGCCATTCCCATATCTAAGTTCGGTAATTCTAGTTAGTAGTGTTATCTTTATTCTATAATACCGTGTATTAAGTATAATGCCTATTATTTCAGTTTATATTAAATATGTTATTTGTAACAAAATTGATAGTATATGATAAATTAGTAATTGGTATTCAACCCCACTTCGGGTAGGTTGAAGTTCATTTATATTAATTTATCAGTATGTGCTATTTTTCATAATTATATATCCATTTTTTTTATAAACGATGTATTGTTTATATTTGTATATATCATTTTATTGTGTATTAATTCTGTACATTGTTTTGCATGGTTTTTTTTTATGAGTACAAATATTAAAAGTAAACATCGAACCAGAGCCTTATTTTTTGGGGGGAAAAGAAGATCTATAGTCACCGGCTACATAAAGAGGGTTAAATTCTTTTAAATAATCGTTTTACCAGCCGGCCACTTTTCAGAATGTAATTTGATAAATTTAATCTAGAGCCGACTTATTCTTGTGTTACTATGAACAGTGGCGTATTTAGGTGGCAAGTTTTGGGACCCCCCCCCCCCCACTCCTGGGCCATGGAAAATCTCGTTAAATGCCACCTACAGAGGCCTGCACGCCACCACCACCTCCCTCTTCTACCTTGATTAGTTATGTGCCCTCTTAAATTCGCAGTGCAGAATAGTAGGACGTAAAACTCATTTCATTTTTTCTTAAATTCGCAAAAGGAAACAGACATTTGGTTGGTTTGATAAAAGTTTTATCATATAGTGATATATGATATCAGTAGCCTAGGATTTAGGGCACTGTCCACTGTGTATGAAGTAAGGGCCGAGATATCGTGACCAGCTGTCATTTCACAATATCCACTCGAATTTAAGATAAGTATACAAAATATCTTGGTCTTGGTTTCATTAAGTACAATTCTTCTATCACTGTGGTAGGCTAAAACCTACGTGTTTCAGAAACACAATCTTCATCAGGACCGTTTGTTTTGGATATTTAAAGTGATACTACGTCTTAGAATAAACACAAAATTTAATTCTCAAGAATGGTCAATATGAGTATATATTCATCAGTGAACTTACCTGGTGTCATAAAGTTACAACAGAATCCCTGTAAAATGTAGAAAATTAGAAAATTCATAAAACTAAGTAATTATTGAAAAATGCTTTTTCAATAGTTAATTGCATATTTATGGATAATTACTAAGTTTTTTGGATTTATTGAATTATATAAGGATCCTGTTATGTTATTTAAGACACCAGGTATATCTACTGGCTCTTATTCGCCAAGTTTAAAATTCTTAAATTTTATGTTAATTCTAAGACGTAGTATCACTTTAATGTGATTTTCGAAATTGAACTTTAGGCGTATGAGCACTCATTGAACAGGAGCAAGAAGAATATTCTACAGTAGGCCTATATGTAGATCCCGGATTCATATTTAATTGATTAGAGCTCATCTTCTACTGCCGACATCAGAACAACTCGTTTTAGAAATGGAGGTAAACTTTCCAACACTAATAGGATTTTTCAAAAATTGGAATTTTTCCTCCACATAGTCGCTTGATATTTTGAAAATCACAGAAAATTAGTTGTGGTCTGAGTCATAGAGTTAAAAGTATCGTCTAAAGGGAGAAAACTCCAAAAATACCAATTTTAATTTTTGTACCTTTATTGAAAAAGAGTTAAAAAAAAACCATACTAAGTAATACAATGTTCCACATGGTTTGTGATTATGTTTCAAAAAAAATTTGTTTAAAAATACTTTAATTTGTTTAGTTTTGATTTTTATGGGGACGTTTTGAACAATGTTGTGTTTTTGTGTCATGTGTCATCTCGACGTCTGCGATTAAGATTAACAAAATGTCACAATCGTATGAAGAAACGGTTAAAAGTTATGACAAGCAAGCCTTCGACAGACCTAGAAAACGAAAACGCCATCGAAAAAAGAAAAGCAGTCATAGAGTTCTTCGGAAGGATAGAGTCGTTGCCAACTCTTGTATATTTGATTTAGAAAACTGTGAAATTTGTGTACAAAATAATTATTTCAATAAACTTTTTCAAAGTCGACAGAATTGCAGACGTGTATCAGATGATGGAAGTGACATTATAAACTCGAATATCAAAATACAGTATCGGACCTCTAAAATACGAAAGAAACGTACAAAGGAGAAACAAAATTCGCACAATTCTGATAACTTCGGTCCCGAAGTTTTGCAGCTTGGAAGTAACGTATGTACGGAAACGGGTGTCATTTCCAAATCACAGAAAGTTAGAACAAAAACTTCAAATTCGGAAAACGAAAACTGGAAGGGAAAATCCAGAAGTTGGCGGAAGCGACACAGGAAAGATATTTATGTGGATAATCTTGAAATGAAGGTAAACACATAGGACGTAAAACTTCACTTGATTTTACTGGTATTGCATGGTAGTAGGACGTATAAGAATCGTTTCCTTTGTATGTGGTCATTAAAGGGACAGATTCGCCATCCGTTTGACCAATTGTGATTTAGTCTCAGAAACTAGCTAAGCTAATCGGTAGTAGTGTTCACAGATCATCGTCAAAATTCGAGCCTTCAAATTCATGCGTGTCCAGAAATATCAGTGTATGAATGTTAAAATGACGACTCGTCATTTCTGAAGATCATAATATAAAAAAGACACATATAGAAATAGAAAGTGAAATTTTATTTCTAGTATTTCTGAAGACTATTTACATATATTCAAGACCCAAACCAACCCCCGAAAATGGCGAATTTGTTCTAGCTATAAGACATAAAATCCTGTTTCGTTTCTTTAGCTAATTGAGATAAAGAAAAATATTGATGTAAATCATTTTTATATATTTTCAGTATGCCGCGACAATGGGAGTGTTTAGATTATGGAATATGGTTATTGAAAAGGATATGAAACTTCATTCTCAAAGAATAAATCTTCAGAAAAAGGTAACGCTCTGTCCTTTAATGCAAAAAAATATATAGTCTATAAGGCCTACATCTTTCAAAAATATTTTTGAACCAATTACGGATGTGTTGCAATTGAATTATATAGGTTTTATAGTTCTGTCGATGAAGTCCATTGGTCGTTAATTCTATTCGACCAATCAAATTAAATGACAGAAATGTTAGTCTCCTAGCTGCATTAAGGGTTTTGTTGAAGAAACAGTTTCTTGACATTTGAGCTGTATGTGTTGCCTTCTTGAACATCTCATAATTCCTTCAGATATACCTCAAACTAGGAATTTCTTTTTCTATCGCTATATATGTCTTTTCTATATATGTGACTGTCTCAAGAAAAGGCGAGTCGTCTTTTTAACTTTCAAACGCGGATAATTCTGGACACACATAGATCTGGAGGCTCAAATTTCGACGGTGAGCTGTGAACACTACTACTGATTGGCTTAGCCCAAAAAAATTCCCGTTCTATAAATCCAGACAAATAGAATTATTGTATAAATGTTTTCTCTTTCTTGAGACTAATGTATGATTGGTTAAACAAATGGCGAATTTGTCCCTTTAATAGATCATTTAAAATCCAGTGGACGCTGTCAAGATGAAAATTTTGAAACAACTTGAGATAAAAGTAAAATTCTGAGTCACTCGACTGTATCCGAACTAAATAAAGTAAAAATACAAACGAATTCTTGAGCTTGTACACATAGGAATTGAGTGATCTTTCCTAGCTTATTATAGTGATGGTGGGTGTCGCGCGACTCAGATCATGCTTACTCTTTTCGAAACATCTGATGGTACTTTTCTTTAGAAGATCCCAGTACTTGACATTTTTTTACTCCCGATTTTGCCATTCTTTGGACGAGATTTTTGATTGACGGAATTGTTTTGCTTGTACGGATTTAATATGCAGCAATAATTATTTCAAACTACAAATGGATTTGTTTTTGCATCCACAAAAGTCGTTTGTATTCATATTTGTTTGGCGGATGACATCCAAATTTGATTTATGAACAAAAGCAAGACCACGTGTTTTTGATTTTATTCACTTTATGTAAGAAATTTCTTATTTTTTTTAACAAAAGGTGATGGCGTGTATGTTATCTATTAAAATTATCTGCAATTTTTTTATCTGTCCTCTTATAATTTTCAATAAAATAGGCTCGATACGTTACATTTTTTAGATTCATACTAAGATATAAAAAAAAATCGATGTACTGAGTCGGTTAATGTCAGTTGATACCCGATGTCCTTAAATTTATACCCACGATTTTTAAGCAAGTTGTCCCGAGTAGGGTTGTGTATCAAAAACATATTTTATAAATATCAAAAATATGATTTTAATACGTTTGTGTCACAGTGCACAAAATCAGTTGTATTTTTATACGCCCACGTTCGTCGATCCGTCCATAATTAACATTGTTAACTCGTTAACATTCTACGTTAACATTCTACGAGGCACAGTTCTAGTATTGAAAATCAAAAGAATCAAAAAATATTTAGTATGAGTTATTGCCCTTGTACTTGAAAACGCGTTCATTTTTTTTTACCTGGTATAAACACTCTAGAAGGCGCTAATATTGACAGATTTTCACGAAACTTGAGTATGAGTGTTTGTAATCACCGAAGGATGAACCCTATTGAAAATCAGAAAAAAATTGAAAAATATTATTGTGAGTTATAGCCCTTGTTCTTGAAAACACTTTCCAATTTTTAGCTGGTAAACACTAAAAGGCACGATTCTTTCCGGATTTTGACAAAACTTGGTAATGTTATACAGTATCGCCCCATATAGTTCAAAAGAAGTGTATGACTTTAGGTTGCATATTTCATACTGACGATTGTTACTGTACTGTCGAATGTTTTTGATTAATATCAAAGCTGCCAGTGGGCGTATATTACATTGCCTTGCAAGCTATCTTCCAAAATGTCAGACGCTCCATGCCTCTGTGTACTTGAAGTTGCCGAATTTTGAATCTGCCACTGCACCTATCTATACCTCATTTGAAACATCCGATCTCCTGTATGGCTGTAGGGCGAGTAAAATTTTGTATTGGAATATGGTCCTGTCATAACAGCAGATTGCAGTGACCCAAGTGGTATGGGACCCTTGAACCCTGGAAGTTATTTTTAAATTTGACCTCTACCAATTGATATCCATCAACTCTCTCTTTCATTATAGGATTCCAAGATACTTCAACTTTCTAAAATTCAAATTTTTAACGAGAACAAAATACACAATCTTCAGAAAAGTGAATACGACCTGACGGAGAGACTGAAGGAAAAAGAAGGCAAAATGAATGAATTAAGAAGAGATTATGAATACATCCAGGGATTATTAGAGGAAAATCATGGTTTGACTATTAACCGAGAGTGCCTCGATGATATCCAAGCTTATATTCTGGAAAGCGTCACAATGATAAACAGCCTCACAAATATGATTCAAAGTCGCGAAATTTAAGTAAACGAGCCCCATCTCGAAGGGGGCCCCATCCCCCCAAAATGTACCAAAGTATCTAAAAGGTTAAAGGGACAGATGCGCCATGTTTTTTTTTTGGCTAATCAAAATGAAATGAATCGAGTTTTACGTCCTACTTTTCTGCACTGTGGGCTGATGAAGACGGGCAACGCCATGCAGAGTGCAATGAGGGAAATTTTGCCAGGACAGCGGCATTAGCCTGTTCTTTTTCGATTTCCAACTGTCGAGGGATCTTTAACGTGCACAGCCTGTAGCACACGGGGCCTCAGTTTATTGTCCCATCCGAACGACTAGACGCTTTTTCCATGTCAGCCCCTCTGAAGGTATTATCTCGACCTATGCTGGGATTGAACCCTGGACCTTCAGCTTAGAGAGCAAGCGTCGAACTCACAGAGCCACCACGGCTCCCAAAATCCATGTGTGTCTAGAATTATCCGCATTTGAATGCGAATATGTTGAGGGAGCAATAGCACCAGGCGTTTAAAGGGGTATTCCGGTTTTTTGTAAAACATTTTCTTTATCAAATTATACCTGAAAATGCTATTTATATCTATGTATATTCTTGATCAAACTGTATTTGCTTTCATTTTTTGATTAAAAACGGAGAGTACTAATTGTTAATTAAGCTGTTTGCCGCAGTTTTGGTGTTTGCCTTTATTTATTTTTTTTTATCTTGTAAAAGTGTTTGCCTTTATAATAGCTCGGTATTATTAGTTGAAACCTATAAAATACCTACATGTCTTCAGGCGTTTATTTTACTCAAATCCGTACAGTAGTTTTCTAACAGCATCCAAAATGCATAACGAACATAAAAACCTTACGTAAAGTTTTTACATATTTTTGGCGTTTAAGGATTTTTTTAGTTAAATATTTCAGATATATTAAAGGGCACATTTCTCTTGATTTTAGTGTCTAGTTTTCACAAATTTCAGCAAAAACGTTTTTCGACCTACAAAAGATTGTTTTTAATGTTTTTAATCATTTCTTCTTATATGAAATAAAAATGTTTTTTGTCTTTTTTATCACTTTTATTCATCACTAGTATTTTGTTGCAATAATGGAAACAAAACTTTAACCCCTTTGCCAGTGCCTTCAGTTCAATAGTAACTTGTTAATTTCAGACAGCGTAATCCCGGAAACTTCTAAAGCGGGCTTCTAAATCTCACTTGCTCCAAGATTCTCTTTAAAAGGACAATTTCGCCATCCGTTTGACCAATCGTATTTCAGTCTCAGAAACGGGAATTTTTAAGCCAAGCTGTAATAGGTAATAGTATTCACAAGTCGCAGTCGAAATTCGAGCGTTTCAAATCTACGTGTGTCCAGAATTATTAAAGTTAAAAAGACGACTCGCCTTTTCTTGACACTCTGCCCAGTGGCGGAGCCAAAGGGGGGGGGGGGGGGGGCAGAGGGGGCAGCCGCCCCCCCCTCACAGCCACGAAAGCAAGTTTTTCGGGCAAAAATCTCACGATGATATTAGAAATTCGGGCAATCTCAGATATTCCGCACGGACATAAACCTGGCTCCGCCATTGACAAAGAAAATATATTTATCTAAAGATATTTATGGAAGGATTGTACATTTTCTGGCTCTTCTGAAGACTATTTGTATTATGAAAGACCCAAATTAACACCCCAAAGAATGGCGAACGTTTCCCTTTAACATCGTGCAAAACATCGTTAGAAATGAAGAGTAATTTGTGATGAGTTTTATGGAACACAAAGTGTTAAGTTAATTAATTCATTGATCCACGTTATTTGACAATAGACAACGCCGTAGGCATAATATGACAATAATAATCTCGGCAGTTTTTTAGGAAGAGTGTATGAGAAGCCTACCGGAAACAATGGCTACCATTCAATACCATGATATGTTGCAGAGCGCTTATGGAATGTTAACGGCAGGTCGCTTGAGCTGTTGAATCACGCAATAATGTCTAAAATGGCAACATCGTTTCCTCCTCGTTTAAATAAGCTCGCACTAAAATGTCGTATGTTCAAATGAACAATAATAATTCAGAATTGATAAAGTTTTTCGGAGATGTTTTGAAAGATTTTTTATTTGCGCGATTTTGATGAATTTCAGAGAGAGTTGGCCGTAACGATTTTGACAAAAGTGTTTATATTGAAATTGATGGAGATCGCGAATCTAGGTAAAATAAGGCTTGTTTTTTTCAATTTTCGTCTTAATTTTTCTAATTTCATGATTTCGATGTTTTTGTCATTATGTTGAGATTTGAAAAAGGCGTGTCGTCAATGTTATTTTCAAACACGGTTAATTTCGACGGTAAACTATGGACACGTAGGCTAACTGATTAGCAAAGCTGAAAAAGAGTTAATTTCTGAGAGAAGCCAAGGTATACCTCCGATTTGCCTTAAATCGACGTATCGATTAAAGCTAAGATAATGTCTGACTCATTATTCGGCAATCCTCGGCAGTTTCCGGAATCTGTTTCGTTAATGAATTTTGTTGTGTCTTCTTGGGCGAGAGTCTTTACTTCCGGTATTTAGCAGTAATTTGTCAAGTGATAGTAATATTGCGACCTGAATATAGTCCCTAGCTTTATAGACTTTAGGAGATAATTCTGACACAAAATTGTGCATTTAATATTCTATTGCGACTATCGGTTTACCAATTATACATTCTATAGTAATTTTCTATCCATATCGTACGAAGGTTATGTTTTTGTTTTTGTTTACATTTACTCGTAGTCCTGAACGACCAGCCTCTGATATTTAAATTACCAGAATCGCGTGATCGCGTGATGATTTGGGCATATATCCAGTAAATAATGTCTTCCATTCATTATCAGGTGTGAAAAACAACATCCTTCTAGATGTGGAAGCTGACTGTATTTTATATTTTATGGCCTGTCGTTTTAAAAAATTTTTGGAAGTAATCATAACTTTCAACATGGGGGATCATAAGTCTATTTTAATATTTGATTTTTTGGATTTATATGTAAATTATCATATAAAACAAGTAGCATGTGGACGTGATTTTGTATCTGCAACTGAAGGGTACAGACGATTTGGCAAGATTTGGCATCAACAAAGTGGTAAACTACTTGGCATACGTACAAAATGATGATAAAATTTCTAATAATCCTCTGGCTGTTGGCTGTTCTGTTTCTACAACAATCTGAAGGTAAGGATCATTTAGCTTTTATTTATTCGCTAAATTTAAAAGGATATTGTCTCGTAATGATATTATTTTCCAACCAAAAGACCCCTTACACCCCGTTTCCAAAATAATGTACATAGTTGAATCCTTCAAACCAATTTTCATCATGTATTTTTTAGTAAAAAGTTTTTTTTTCTAAATTTTTAGAAATGGCTTTATTAAATGTGATTTGATTTATGACGGTCTCTATGAAAATTCGACTTCATCAGTCGACGTAACGATTTAAAAAGGCTGTGAAGTACGTTCGTGCCGTGTGTTATTTCCATGTAAGAACCATATCATCGTTTCTTATCTGACCTATGTATGAAAATTTGTATATTCCAGGACAAGATGTAATGGCATTATTTAACAAACATTTTGGTGTCGGTGCACAAAAAAACAAAGAGGCCTTGTTGGATAAAATGTTTGGAGGATTGTTTGTTTCTATGAACAAGGAAACCAAGGAACCGGAAATTATCGGTGCCAGCCCATACTGGATTTAGTCCACTCCGCGATTTTGACATTCAACACCGACAAAGTATTATTTATTATTATTTTATGTGATAAATGTAGTTATGAAAATCATTTGTAAATCTACAGCGAGTTCCGGTTTATGAAACCAAGTGGAAAATCAATTGTTGACTTTCTCTCCACGGGCGCCGCCATCTTGAATAATCAACAAAAATCGACAAAATAGCGGTCAACTAAGTTCCTATATGTAAGAACAATATGTCGATTTCTATGTACCATAAACGCTATTCAACCTAGTCTTTGACACCCAGACTTCTCTTGAGTCCGACGAGTACACGTGTAAGGACGCTTTCAAGCTCTCTTAAAGGAGATTACTACTATTAAGCTATTGTGACGTCATATAAACTCCAACAATGCTTGGTGGAACTACAAACCCTCTTCTTTCAAATTTGTATATTTCCAAACCTAATTTGTACATTTTCTAACCTAACGAGTTAAGTTATCTGTATTATGAATCAATTAAACTATATTTTATGAAAATAATCCTTTTAATTTTTTTTTATTGAGGACTCGTCCTATTCTGGCGAACTCAGTACATATATAGAGTCGGGAAATCAACAACAATAACATTACGACGCAGATGCAAACTTTTGTTCATCGTATCTGACACTATGTCACTTCGTCATGGCTATGATAATAAACTGTACAGCCATAGCAGTTAATCCATTGCACTGCTCTGTGGCAGGCCCGTATTCAGAGGCGCAATGGTGTATGGTATCGATTTGCAGTAGTGGAATTGGTCTGTTGTCAGATTTTTTCCTTTGCCCCTCTTACACCCCTGTAACTACGGGCCTGCTCTGCTCCGGATGCGCTATTGCAGTTTACACTGAACATTGCAGTTTCTAACCGACCTGCTGGTTCTTGTTAAGAAAATATTCAAAATGTCCCCCTGTATCCATTTCCATTACGCGCTCTATTGTAGCCCACAAAAGACCTTCGGGCACATTGCACCGAATAAACCTGATACTCATTTGGACCTATAACTTATTGCATAGAGCCTATAATATTGCTTTGTCCGGCACGTCAGAAACGCCACAATAATATTAGCACACCTAACTTGAAACTTCACTACAGACAATATCAGTCACATTGTGGTCACATTGTGGCATCACATCTGGTATGCCAATCTGCTACACACTGGTGGCTGATTTCGTTGGTATAACATCCAACCATTTCAATTAAGAGTCAACTATAGAAAAAAAACTCTATCATCCAGTCTTTGTCTTCATACAAATCGAGGAAGAAGGCCTAGATAGGTCGCTTACATATACAGAGTTATATTGTAAATATAC